GTGGTGGCCCCCCGACTCTGGAACACCCTCCCCAAAGATCTTAGACAGGCCTCTACATTGGCAGTCTTTAGAAAGAACTTGAAGACCTGGCTGTTCCGATGTGCCTTCCCCGAATAGGAAATCTCCAAGACCAAATCCCAGAAGCACATTATTAGAATTAAGATCGCCGCACACTGCACACTGCACTTGCCCTATAATGCCTTACATATCACCTGTCACATCAGCACTTTTAACCCTGTACTCTTCACTCTGGCCCGGCCCAGTTTTATCGTGTTTTGATGTATTGTTTATTGCTTGTTGTTGTGTTGTTTTAATATTGCTTTAATTGTTTTTAATTTGCTTTAGGTGTTATACTGTTATGTTGTGTATCATTATTATTATTATTATTATTATTATTATTATTATTATTTAAACTTATATGCCGCCACTCCCCTGGGGCTCGGAGCGGCTTACAAGAATAGCTAAAATCTAACAAAGTTTAAAAGCAATTTAAAACAATTTAAAAACAACAGTATCAAACATTAAAAGCCGGTCGGAACAGGTATGTCTTACATGCCCTGCGGAAAGCTGGTAAGTCCCGCAAGGCACGAACTTCAGGTGGCAGAGCATTCCAGACTGATGGTGCCACTGCTGTGAAGGCTCTGCGTCCGGTTGCTGTTAGACGCAAGGTCTTGACACTGGGGACTTCCAATAGATCTTGGTCCTCAGAACGGAGGGATCTCTGGGGTTGGTAGGGGGTGAGACGATCCCTCAGATACATTGGCCCCAGACCATGCAAGGCCTTGCAAGGTACATGCAAGGTATTGAGGCCTTGGCCCTTGTAAGCCGCATCAAGTCCTTCGGGAGATGCTAGCGCGGTACAAATAAAGTTTAATAATAATAATAATAATATACACACAGACACACACACAAAGCACATATACACAGACTGGGCCACAACAATGCGTTGCAGGAGCAGCACTCAGGGAGCACACCACTCCTCTGTTGAGCCAGCTCCACTGGCTGCCAATTTGCTACCGGGCACAATTCAAGGTGCTGGCTTTAGCCTATAAAGCCCTACACGGTTCCGGCCCCACTTACCTCTCCGAACGCATCTCCACCTATGAACCGGCGAGGTTGTTAAGATCGTCTGGAGAGGCCCTGCTCTCGGTCCCGCCAGCGTCACAGGTGCGGCTGGCGGGAACGAGGGACAGGGCCTTCTCAGTGGTGGCCCCCCGGCTATGGAATGCCCTACCAGCGGACATCAGGCAGGCCCCTTCGCTATTGGCGTTTAGGAGGAGGGTTAAGAAGTGGCTCTTCGAACAGGCGTTCGGATAAATATGCAATTAACAACTGACTCAGGAATGACGGCACATTGAACAAGGAATGGTAATACGACTGTGAGATCGAGATCTGATTCTAATGAGGCGTGATGATTTTTATGTGTATTGTTTGTGTATGTTTGTTATATAGATTGTTCAGTGTTGCACATTTTATTGTAAACCGCTTCGAGTCGCCTTTTTAGGCTGATATTTGCGGTATACAAAAGAAGTAAATAAATAAATAAATAAATAATACTAGATAAGGACAATAGTACAGCATCATCTGCATATAAGATTAAGGAGGCATGGATAGAATAACTTTCTGTCTCTTTCCCCCAGGAAGCGGCAGAGAGACCACATTGTCTACGTCCACATGAACCTCCTCTGGGCCATTTTCATCCTGGACATGAGCTTCCTCATCGCCGTGCCTTTGGCCCCAAACGCAGGGGACACGTCTTGCAAAGCGGGGGCCATGTTCCTGCACTTCAGCCTCCTGGCTTGCTTGACCTGGATGGGCCTGGAGGGCTACTGCCTCTACCAGCTGGTCATTGAGGTCTTCAATTCCTACGTCAAGAACTTCCTCCTCAAACTAAGCCTGGTGGGATGGGGTGAGTGCTGGACAAGGCAGTCGAGTAACAATATCCTGCTAAAGGACTATGCATAGGACATTATGTCCTGGTCTCATAGGAAGCAGACACTAAATCAGGTGTTTCAAACTCCTTTTCATCATGGGTCACATCCACCTTATTATGGTTGCCTTCAAAGGGCATCCCATCCACAAGTCTTGTATCTCATTCCAAGCACCAATCTTCTGATGAAGCAAAACAAATGACAACCTCCCAGATGTTACCCATCAGTTCTAGTTCCGATGCTTTTTATTATATGACTAGTTTGCATACCTAGCATTTCCTGGGTTATTTGAAAAAGTCAAAAATCCAAAAACCCCCAAAAACTCCCATCTGTACTTAAAGTTTGTTATGTTGGGCAATAGGCCTGTGCGGTTTCGTTCGTTAATTCGTTAATTCGTTATTAATTCGTTATTTTTACCATTTCCGAAGCGATATTGAAACATATTTCCAAACCCGGAAGGGTTTTTAAATATCGAACCAGCAGCCCCCATAGTTTTAACGAGCCTCCGCTCGTTTCGTTAATGGGGTGGAGGCTGCTGGAGTGCTGGTGCCTGGGAGCCAATTCGGCGCTCCCAAACAGTGCACCACCATGGGTCCGTGGCTGCCTGTTTTTGATTGGCCGGCGAGCCCTTTCAAAGCGGCTCCGCGCGGCCCGTAGCTTCAAGAGGGCGAGGGAGTTTGCATTGGGTTGGCTTGGCAATGGCTGCTAGCAACTCGGATTGGATTCATTCCTTGCTGCTGTGAGTGCTGCTTGCTTCATTTGCTGTCTCTTGCCTGTGTTTGGTCCACATTTGGGCCATTTTTTGGTTAATTTTCCATTTTAAAATATTTTTAATATTATTTTTTAATATTATTTTTAATATTATTTTTAATATTATTCTTAAAAAATATTCTAAAAAAGAAAAGACTCTTCTGTTGGTGTGTGCTCTCATTTGCTGTATCCTGCCTGTGTTTGGTCCACATTTGGGCCATTTTTTGGTTAATTTTCCATTTTAAAATATTTTTTATATTTTTTTAATATTTTTTTTTAATATTATTTTAATATTATTCTTAAAAAATATTCTAAAAAAGAAAAGACTCTTCTGTTGGTGTGTGCTCTCATTTGCTGTATCCTGCCTGTGTTTGGTCCACATTTGGGCCATTTTTTGGTTAATTTTCCATTTTAAAATATTTTTTAATATTATTTTAATATTATTCTTAAGAAATACCAAAAATATTCTAAAAATTCGTTAATATTTACAAAATTTCTTAAATACCAAAACTTTTTTTTTGAAAGTTTTGTAATTATTTTAAATATCGAAACAAAAAAACACCCCAATTACAAATCGATTTTAGAAACAAATTTTTTCTTGATCAAACAGGCCTATTGGGCAAGTTTGCTCTAGATCAGTGTTTCTCAACCTGGGGGTCGGGACCCCTGTGGGGGTCGCGAGGGGGTGTCAGAGGGGTCACCAAAGACCATCAGAAAACATAGTGTTTTCTGTTGGTCATGGGGGTTCTGTGTGAAAAGTTTGGTCCAATTCGATCATTGGTGGGGTTCAGAATGCTATTTCATTGTGGGTGAACTATAAATCCCAACAACTACCACTCCCAAATGGCAAGGTCTATTTTCTCCAAACTCTGCCAGTGTTCATATTTGGGCATATTGAGTATTTGTGCCAAGTTTGATCCAGATCCATCATTGCTCGAGTCCACAGTGTTCTCTGGATGTAAGATTCCATCTGAACACAAGGAAGAACTTCCTGACTGTGAGAGCTGTTCAGCAGTGGAACTCTCTGCCCCAGAGTGTGGTGGAGGCTCCTTCTTTGGAAGCTTTTAAACAGAGGCTGGATGGCCATCTGTCAGGGGTGATTTGAATGCAATATTCCTGCTTCTTGGCAGTAGGTTGGACTGGATGGCCCTTGAGGTCTCTTCCAACTCTTTGATTCTATGATTCTCTGGATGTAGGTGAACTACAACTCCAAAAACTCGAGGTCAATGTCCACCAGGCCTTCCCAGTATTTTCTCTTGGTCATCGGAATTCTGTGTGCCAAGTTTGATTCAATTCCATCATTGGTGGAGTTCAGAAGGCTCTTTGATAGTAGGTGAACTATAAATCCCAGCAACCCCAGCATTACCAAATGACAAAATCAATCACCCCTAACCCCACCAGTATTCAAATTTGGGCGTATCAGGTATTTGTGCCAAATTTGGTCCAGTGGCTGCAAATACATCCTACATATCAGATATTTACATGACGATTCATAACAGGAGCAAAATGACAATAATGAAGTCGCACTGAAAAAAATGTTATGGTTGGGGGTCACCACAACATGAGGAATTGCATTAAGGGGTCGCGGCATTAGGAAGGTTGAGGAACACTGCTCTAGATGCATCATCAGTGGGGTTCAGTGTGCTCTCTGGCTGCAGGGTAAACTACAGCTCCCACTATGGCGAGTCAGTCTCCTAAAAGCCCTCCAGTAGGTTGAGTTTGTCTTGGGGGTTCTCTGTGCCAAGTTTGGTCCAGGTCCGTCATTAGTGGAGGTCATCGTTTCTCTGATTGTGGGTGAATTACAACTCCCAGAAAGGAAGGTCAGTTTTACCCAAACCCCTCCAGTAATCAAATTTGGGCATATCAGGTATGCATGCCAAGTTTGGTCCAGATCCATTGGTGTTTGGGTTCACAGTGCTCTCTGGATGTAGGAGAACTACAACTCCCCCAAATCAAGGTGAATTTTCCCCAAAGATCAATATATTTTTGCTGGTCATGGGGGCTCTGAGTGCCAAGTTTGGTCCAGTTCCATCTCTGGTGGAGCTCATGGGTTGCAGGTAAACTTTACATCCAATGTAAAGTTTATGGGATATGGGAGTTATGTAAGGGAGCATTAACTCTGCGCTGTTCTTTGCTTACAGGACTTCCCATTATCATTGTGTCTCTGGTCTTCTTGATTGATCAATCCCATTATGGACCATTCTCTTTGGAAGTCTACGATTCCACCAAAGGACCGACCAATGTAACCATGTAAGATCTGGGGCACTGGGTAGGGGATGTGGCATCAAGTGCGTAGTATAGCCCCAGACATGTTTTCTTGGGGTCATTGGGCTGCCTTGTGAAGTTTATTTTGTTGGGCAAACAAAAGAGAATTATATTTCCTTGAAATTTCTATGAATGGTTTCTAGGCTCTTTACCATCATGGACATGTTCCGGTTTGTTTCTATCCTCCTTCAACCGAGATGCCCATTTAAATGGAAGGGAGGAGAGAGGGATAGAGAGAAAAGGAAGGAAGGAATAAAGAAAAGAAGAAAGGAGGGAAGGTGGGGAGAAAGGAGAAAGGAAGGAAGGAGAAAGGAAGGAAGGAAATAGGGAGGGAGAGAAGAAGGAAGGAAGGGAGGAAAAAAGGAGGAAAGAAAGAGGGAAGGAGGGAGAGAGAAAAGAAACTAGGAAGGAAGGAAGAAGGAAGGAAAGAGAAAGGAAGGAAGAAGGAAGAAAGGAAGGAAAAAGGGAGGGGAGGAAGGGAGGGGAGGGAGGAAAGGAGGAAGGAAGAAAAGAGAGAGGGAGAGAGAATAGGAAGGAAATAGGGAGGGAGAGAAGAAGGAAGGACGGGAAAGGAAGGAAAAAAGGAGGAAAGAAAGAGGGAAGGAGGGAGAGAGAAAAGAAATTAGGAAGGAAGGAGAAAGGAAGGAAGGAAGGAAGGAAGAAGGGAAGAAGGAAGGAAGGAAGGAAGGAAGGAAGGAAGGAAGGAAGGAAGGAAGGAAGGAAGGAAGGAAGGAAGGGAAAGGAAGGAAAGAGGGAGGGAAGGAAGGGAGGGGAGGGAGGAAAGGAGGAAGGAAGAAAAGAGGGAGGGAGGGAGAATAGAAAGGAGGAAAGAAGGAAGGAAGGAAGGAAGGAAGGAAGGAAGGAAGGAAGGAAGGAAGGAAGGAGGTAGGGTGGGAAGAAAGAAGGAAGGGAGAGAGAAAGGAGGGAGGGAAGGAAGGAGGGAGGGAGGGAGGGAGGGAGGGAGAGAAGAAAAAAGGAAGGTAGGAGGGAGGGAGGTAAGGAAGAAGGAAGGAATGGAGAAACGAAGGAGTGAGGAAGGAAAGGAGGGAAGAAGGTGGGAGGGAGCGATGAAGGAAGGACAGAAGAAAGGAGGGACAAAGGGAAGAAGGAAAAAGGGAGGGAAGGAGAGAAGCGAAAGAAAGACCTCCTTCTAGTTAGTGGGTGTGTTCATGCAGAATACTTCCAGCATCTTTAGAACTGAAAGGCATGATACACAATCCGTTAAGTTTCTCCTCCACCTACTTCTCTCTCCCTCCCTTCTTTCCCAGTTGCTGGATCACAAAGAAAGAGATCAACAACTTCCTGAACTTGGGGCTGTTGAGCCTGGTGCTCTTCTTCAACGCCATCATGCTGGCCGCGATGGTGAGAGAGATCCTCCGGCTGAGGCACCGGGAACACCACTGGGAATATGCAGTCATGCTCCTGGGGCTGAGCTGCGTGCTGGGCATCCCCTGGGGCCTGGCTTTCTTCTCCTTCTCCTCGGGGACCTTCAGACTGGTGGCCATCTACCTCTTCACCATCATCAATTCTTTACAAGGTTAGTAAGCTATGGATGGTTCCCTACAGCTCGCTCCTCTTTCTGCCTCTTCTCTTATGCATTTGGAACTTCAGTGGCTCAATAGTTTCCATTAAGTGTTGAATACTCTTTATTGGGTCTTCTATGATGCACACCATGTCATCGGCAAAAGTCTTGACTTTAAATTCTTTAATTTTTATCTCTTTCATATCACTGTTTTCCCTAATCCTGATATTTAATACTTCCAACATCCTCTATAGAGGCAACAGTGGGCAACCTTTATAATAATAATAATAATAATAATAATAATAATAATAATAATAATTATTATTATTATTATTATTATTATTATTATTATTATTATTATAATACCTTTATTTGTACCATGCTAGCATCTCCCGAAGGACTCGATGCGGCTTACAAAGGCCAAGGCCTCAACACACAACATAACAATACAGAACCTAAAGCAAATTAAAAACAAATTAAAGCAATACTAAACAACAAACAATAAACAATACACCAAGACACAATAAAACTGGGCCAGAGTAATGGGTACAGAATTAAAAGTGCTGATGTGACAGGTGATATGTAAGGCTCATAGGGCAAGTGCAATGTGCAGTGTGCGGCAATCTTAGTTCTAATAAAGTGCTTCTGGGACTTGGTATTGGAGATTTCCTATTCTGGGAAGGCACATCAGAACAGCCAGGTCTTCAAGTTCTTTCTGAAGACTGCCAATGTAGGGGCCTGTCTAAGATCTTTGGGGAGGGTGTTCCAGAGTCGGGGGGCCACCACAGAAAAGGCCCTGTCTCGTGTCCCCACCAAACGCGCTTGCGACGCAGGCGGAATCACGAGCAGGGCCTCTCCAGATGAACGAAGTGAACACGTGGGTTCATAAACGGAGATGCGGTCACGCAGGTAGGATGGTCCCAAACCGTTCAGGGCTTTGTAGGTAAGCACCTGCACCTTAAATTGGGCTCGGAAAATAAACGGCAGCCAGTGGAGCTCCTTGAACAGAAGGGTTGACCTCTCTCTGTAAGGGGCCCCAGTTAACATCCTGGCTGCTGCCCGTTGGACCAGTTGAAATTTCCGAGCCGTTTTCAAGGGCAGCCCCACGTAGAGTGCATTACAGTAATCCAATCTAGAGGTGACCAAGGCATGGACCACCCCGGCCAGATCAGCCTTCGCGAGGTACGGTCGCAGTTGGCGCACGAGTCTCAGTTGTGCGAAAGCCCTCCCAGACACTGCCGATGCCTGAGCCTCAAGCGTAAGCGATGAATCCAAGAGGACTCCCAAACTGTGGACCTGTGGCTTCAGGGGGAGTGTAACCCCGTCCAGCACAGGTTGCCACCCTATACCCCGGTCAGGTTTACGATCGACCAGGAGGACCTCTGTCTTGTCGGGATTGATCTTCAGCTTGTTCCTCCTCATCCAGATAGACACAGCGGCCAGGCACTCGTCCAGGACCCGGGAGGCCTCCTTGGAATTGGGTGGAAAGGAGTAGTAGAGTTGTGTGTCATCTGCGTAGAGGTGGCACCTAACTCCAAAACTCCAGATGACCCCTCCCAGCGGTTTCATGTAGATGTTAAAGAGCATGGGAGACAAAATAGAGCCTTGCGGGACCCCACAGATCAAAGGCCAGGGGTCCGAGCAGGCGTCTCCCAGCTTCACCATCTGGGATCGACCCTCCAGGAAGGATCGGAGCCATGACAAAACCGTACCCCTGAGACCCATCCCAGAGAGTCGACCCAGAAGGATACCATGATCGATGGTATCGAAAGCCGCTGAGATGTCCAAGAGAACCAACAAGGAACCAACCTTGTCTCATTCCTTTTCGTATCTCTATATAATTTGACATTGGAGCCCAATCATTTCAGATACGAGAAACTCTATCTATGCAGCAAGGCAGGTAGCTATAGGGAAAGATGGGAAAATGTATCAGGAAAGATTTCTGCAGACAAAATACAGAATTGGAAACCTTTCTTTCTGGAAAATGTTCTGCCCCATATCTCTGCCCTGGATTTCTGCAACGCTCCAAAATACAGCTAGCATATCCCTCAGTGTCCCCTTCAAGCTGAGGTTGGTTTGCTGATTTTTCTTTGCTTTTTGGCAAGCGACTTAAAGCAGGAAATGGTGTGGGGAAATGAAACGACTTAGAAGTATCTGAACTGCTAGGAGATACACCACAGGCATAGCCACATTTTACATATATGTGTAGACAGGTTGGCACAGAGAGGCTTCCAGGAGAGCAATTCATTGCAGACTTGTTGACAAATAACCTAGCAAAGACAGTCTGAAACAGAATTAGGGGCTCCAATGCAACTTTTTTTCATGTCAGGAGCGACTTGAGAAATTGCATGTCACTTCTGGTGCGAGAGAATTGGCCATCTGCAAGGACGTTGCCCAGGGGATGCCCGGATGTGTTACCATCCTGTGGGAGGCTCCTTTCATGTTCCTGCATGGGAAGCTGGAGATGACAGACAGGAGCTCACCCTGCTCCCCGGATTCGAACGACCGACTTTTCTATCAGCAGTCCTGCCGCAAAAAGGGTTTAACCCTGTAAAGAGGTCGTTAAACTGCTGCCACCAATTGTAACGATGACCGTTTTAATGCCACCGAATGCCACCAATTGTGAAGGTGCGCGTGGTAAAGCACCCACTGCCACCTAATCTATGAGGGAAGCCGGGCAACGATCAATATCAGCCTAGGAACTATTTTATAAAGGGACTGTTAATTACAGAAGGTTTTATTCAGTGGATAGCGTAGCGTTTACTTTCCTGGCTTGACTTTACTATTGCAGGCTGTTCAACTTAGGAGAAACTGTATCAGGCAAGGCTTGAGGAAGACAGTAACAAGTTTATTTTAACAGCAGTATAATAAGTTTAACTGTTTCTTCAAAAGAGGCACAAATCTTGATGGTTACAATAGTAATGTTTCATGAGTAATCTCAGGCACAGTCTTCAAGAAGTTTCTTTAAGCAGATGTAACCCTTCTGGACAACTGCCCTAATATAACAACTAAGCTAAAAGGCTTATTTTCACAGAATTCCCTATAGCACACTGGCTACAGACACATTCCCTGAATCTCCACCTAGAGACTCAGTGTTCTCTCAGTAGCTCTCCGGCCACTGACTAATTCCCTGTTTCTCCCACTAGAGAAATCAGGCCCTTCCTGTAGCTCACCGGCTTACAACTACATTCCCTGAATCTCCACCCTGAGACTCAGTGTTCTCTCAGTAGCTCTCCGGCCACTGACTAATTCCCTGTTTCTCCCACTAGAGAAATCAGGCCCTTCCTGTAGCTCACCGGCTTACAACTACATTCCCTGAATCTCCACCCTGAGACTCAGTGTTCTCTCAGTAGCTCTCCGGCCACTGACTAATTCCCTGTTTCTCCCACTAGAGAAATCAGGCCCTTCCTGTAGCTCACCGGCTTACAACTACATTCCCTGAATCTCCACCCTGAGACTCAGTGTTCTCTCAGTAGCTCTCCGGCCACTGACTAATTCCCTGTTTCTCCCACTAGAGAAATCAGGCCCTTCCTGTAGCTCACCGGCTTACAACTACATTCCCTGAATCTCCACCCTGAGACTCAGTGTTCTCTCAGTAGCTCTCCGGCCACTGACTGACTTTTTAAAACACAGCTGCCTCATGAAGAGGCAGTTGGCTCCGCCCCTGTTGCTATGGCAACTCAGCTAACACCAAGCCACCCTCTCCCACAAAACATAATCTCCCATACTTACCATCCCTACACTACTGTCCAAACTACACATAACCAAAGGAATAAAACTTACACATCGTCACAAACCCATTGTGCCACTAAAAGCTGCATACATCTATTGGCCTTCGGATAATAGATGTATGCAGCTTTTAGTGGGACAAAGACGGGAACTGCCACTCGACTGATGAGATTGTTTTATAGTTTTAATAACTGTTTTGATATTTGGTGATGTACTGTTTTTAATATGATTTATGTTTAAAGTGTGGTTTTACTATTGTAGTTGTAAGGCATTGAATTTTTTCCACTATCTATGTATAAACCGCTTTGAGTCGCACAGATTAGATAATTTATTTATTTTTTATTATTTACTTACAGCTTTTATATTCCGCCCTTCTCACCCCGCAGGGGACTCAGGGCGGATTACAGTGTACACATATATGGCAAACATTCAATGCCAATTTTTGACATACAAACATATACAGACATACACAGAGGCTATTTAACTTTTTCAGGGGAGCTGTCGCTTTCATCGTCCATCTGTGACGCTGATGAAGCACTTCCGCATTTCCCGCATGCTTCCCCGCTGGAATGCTTTGCTGGAGTCTTCTTTATGGCCTCATAAATCAGTTAATTTAGCCTCCCCACACTTTAAGCTGGTACCTAATTTTCCTACTTGATAGATGCAACTGTCTTTCGGGTTGCAAAGGTTAACAACAGGCTACACACAATTGGTTGGAAACCCACTCCAACCCTGGCTGGCTTCGAACTCATGACCTTTTGGTCAGAGTGATCTTAATGCAGCTGACACTCAGCCAGCTGCGCCACAATCCCGGTAGATAAATCATTCTTCTTGTGAGATTCTGTTCTAGCCATTCCTATGTCACTAATTCTTCCTCTAGTACCACCCAAAAACTTCCCACTACTACAGTACACTTTCCTATTCCTTTTCTAACTTCTCCAATTGTCCATCACATTCTCAGACCTTCTCCCAACCTTCCTCGCAGCATGCACATTCTTCAACTTTCCTATACTTTCAATTGCTTTTACAACAATCAATCTCACAGGACTCTCTCATAGAATCATAGAATCAAAGAGTTGAAAGAGACCTCCTGGGCCATCCAGTCCAACCCCATTCTGCCAAGAAGCAGGAATATTGCATTCAAATCACCCCTGACAGATGGCCATCCAGCCTCTGTTTAAAAGCTTCCAAAGAAGGAGCCTCCACCACACTCCGGGGCAGAGAGTTCCACTGCTGAATGGCTCTCACAGTTAGGAAGTTCTTCCTCATGTTCAGATGGAATCTCCTCTCTTGTAGTTTGAAGCCATTGTTCCGCGTCCTAGTCTCCAGGGAAGCAGAAAACAAGCTTGCTCCCTCCTTCCTGTGACTTCCTCTCACATATTTATACATGGCTATCATATCTCCTCTCAGCCTTCTCTTCTTCAGGCTAAACATGCCCAGCTCCTTAAGCTGCTCCTCATAGGGCTTGTTCTCCAGACCCTTGATCATTTTAGTCGGCCTCCTCTGGACACATTCCAGCTTGTCAATATCTCTCTTGAATTGTGGTGCCCAGAATTGGACACAATATTCCAGGTGTGGTCTCACCAAAGTGGAATAGAGCATGGGGAGCATGACTTCCCTAGATCTAGACACTATGCTCCTCTTGATGCAGGCCAAAATCCCATTGGCTTTTTTTGCCACCACATCACATTGTTGGCTCATGTTTAACTTGTTGTCCACGAGGACTCCAAGATCTTTTTCACACGTACTGCTCTCGAGCCAGGCCTCGTCCCCCATTCTGTACCTTTGCATTTCATTTTTTCTGCCTAAGTGGAGTCTCTTGCATTTGTCACCGTTGAACTTCATTTTGTTAGTTTTGGCCCATCTCTCTAATCTGTCAAGATCGTTTTGAATTCTGCTCCTGTCCACTGGAGTATTGGCTATCCCTCCCAATGTGTTACCATCCTGTGGGATGCTTCTCTCACGTCCCCACATTAGAAGCTGGAGCTGACAGACGGGAGCTCACCCTGTTCCCTGGATTCGAACGGTGGCAGGACTGCTCATCGAAAAGTCGGCCATTCGAATCCTGGGAACAGGGTGAAGACCTGGTCCAACACTTATCCCATATTTTTGTGATATGATTCATCAAAACTGGTGGCACAATTCAAAGTGCTGGTATTAACCTTTAAAGCCCTAAATGGTTCTGTCCCAGACTACCTGTCCGAACGTATCTCCTGTTGCAAACCATCATGAAGTTTCATATCTTCAGGAGATACCCTGCTCTCGATCCCACCACCATCATAAACATAGTTGGTGGGGACAAGAGACAGGGCCTTCTCAGCAGTGGCCCCCCATCTGTGGAACTCTCTCCCTAAGGACATTAGGTTGGCTACCTCCCTCCTGTCCTTTAGAAGAAAGGCTTTGGGACCAGGCATTCGATTAATGGACAGCAGTGGAAAGAAGACTTGGATACTGCGACGTTGAATTAACCCTAGACTTGGTTTTGGTTTTAACTGAAGTGACTAATCTATTGTTTTAATTAATTGTTTCAATATTTTATTTATCTTGTCAGGAGCAAACCAAACAGTTGTATTGCATTTTTTAACAAACAAACAAACAAACAAAGCACAAAGTTTGCAAGCTTGGTAGTTGATTTAACGCCCTTTGCCCAGTATCCGTTGCTATAAGAAGGTCCTCCATGGTGCATGTGGCAGGGCTCAGGTTGCATTGCAGCAGGTGGTCAGTGGTTTGCTCTTCTCCGTACTCGCATGCCGAGGATTCCACTTTGTGGCCCATTTCTGAAGGTTGGCTCTGCATCTCGTGGTGCTAAAGTGCAGTCTGTTCAGCGCCTTCCAAGTCGCCCAGTCTTCTGTGTGCCCAGGGGGGAGTCTCTCATTTGGTATCAGCCATGGATTGAGGTTCTGGGTTTGAGCCTGCCACCTTTGGACTCTCGCTTACTGAGATGTTCCAGCGAGTGCGCAGTCAGTTCAGCGCCTTCCAAGTTGCCCAGTTTTCTGTGTGCCCAAAGGGGAGTCTCTCATTTGGTATCAGCCATTGGTTGAGGTTCTGGGTTTGAGCCTGCCACCTTTGGACTCTCGCTTGCTGAGGTGTTCCAGCGAGTCTCTCTGTAGATCTTAGAAAACTCTTTCTTGATTTAAGTCGTTGACGTGCTGGCTGATACCCAAACAGGGGATGAGCTGGAGATGTCACTATTTTGGTCCTTTCACTATTGGCTGCTACTTCCCAGCGGATGTCAGGTGGTGCAATACCGGCTAAGCAGTGTAATTTCTCCAGTGGTGTAGGGTGCAGACACCCTGTGATAATGTGGCATGTCTCATTAAGAGCCACATCCACTGTTTTAGCGTGGTGAGATGTGTTCCACACTGGGCATGCATACTCAGCAGCAGAGTAGCAAAGTGCAAGGACAGATGTCTTCACTGTGTCTGGTTGTGATCCTCAGGTTGTGCCAGTCAGCTTTCATATGAATGTTTTAATGGTTTAATGTATTTGTTGACTATTTGTATGATGATAAGTTATGTGAGTCCCCCCCCCCCTTGGGGGGAGAAGGGCGGGGTAAAAGTGTATTAAATAAATCAATCAATCCTTCTCCTCTTTCCCTAGGCTTCCTGATCTTCCTTTGGTACTTGGCCAAATTACGCCAGTCACGCAGGTCCTCCTCCATGCGGTGTTCGACGTCAAACAGCATCAAGCTCCAGTCCAGCAGCACCAGCATATGAACTGGGAACGCTTGCCATTTCCTTTGGAACTTAACGCAACAACCCCTCCAGTGTTTATATGTGTCATTGCCTATATTTGGGGTGGAAGACAGAACGGCAGGACGAGGACACTTGCTCACCATCCAATAATATTGCATTGCGCTTTTCTATTGTAAATATTTTGTTTGTATATGTGGTGTAAAATATTACTTTCTGGATTTGATATGCTTTTATTAAAGCCGTCACTCTTCCTTGGGACACCTTTGGAAATGCTTTTAAAAACTACTAACCGTCCCGTGCCACGCATTGCTGTGGCCCACATGGGGGTTCTGTGTAGGAGGTTTGGCCCAGTTCTGTCGTTGGTGGGGTTCAGAATGCTCTCTGATTGTAGGTGAACTACAAATCCCAGCAACTACAACTCCCTATTTTCTATTTTCCCCAAACTCCACCAGTGTTCACATTTGGGCATATTGAGTATTCGTGTAGAGTTTGGTCCAGATCCATCATTGTTTGAGTGCCACAGTGATCTCTGGATGTAGGTGAACTATAAATCCCAGCAACTACAACTCCCAAATGTCAAGATTTTATTTTCTCCAAACTCCATCAGTGTTCACATTTGGGCATATTGAGCATTCGTGTACAGTTTGGTCCAGATCCATCCTTGTTTGACTCCACAGTGCTCTCTGGATGTAGGTGAACTACAATTCTACAACCAAAGGACACTGCCCACCAATCACTTCCAGTATTTTCTGTTGGTCATAGGCAAACTGTGTGCCAAGTTTGGTTCAATTCCATCGTTGCTGGGGTTCAGAATGCTCTTTGATTGTAGGTGAACTATATATCCCAGCAACTACAACTCCCAAATGACAAAATCAATCCCCCCACCCCCAGGCCACCAGTATTCAAATTTGGGCATATGCCCACCAAACCCTTCTACTGTTTCTGTTGGTCTTGGAACTCCTGTGTGCCAAGTTTGGTTCAATTCCATCGTTAGTGGAGTTCAGAATGCTCTTTGATTGTAGGTGAACTATAAATCCCAGCAACTACAACTACCACATGCCAAGATTCTTTTCTCCCCAAACTCCACCAGTGTTCACATTTGGGCATATTGAATATTCATGTAGAGTTTGGTCCAGATCAATAATTGTTTGAGTCCACAGTGATCTCTGGATGTAGGGGAACTACAACTCCAAAACCAAAGGACACTGCCCACCAAACCCTTTCAGTATTTTCTGTTGGTCTAGGGCAGTGATGGGCAACCTTTTGAGCTTGGTGTGTCAAAAGTTGCCAAAAACCTGAGCATAACTTGGGTGGAGTATCACTTTGAGAAAAAACACACAATTTTGCAATATTTATAGTTTAAATAAGAAAAATGTATAATCCATGCTGAGTTATGGAGTGAACAATGCTCAGACGTGCAGATGTTAAATTTGTAGAGCCTTTTACAAATTTAAGGATGGAATTAGATTGGCTCTTATAAGGTGTATTTCTCTGTATGTGGCCGCATGTGTCTGCGTGTCATCAAAAATAGCCATGCGTGTCAGTGCTGACACGCGTGTCATAGGTTCACCATCACGGTGGTATGAGGGAGTTCTATGTGCCAAGTTTGGCTCAATTCCATCGTTGGTGGGGTTCAGAGTGCTCTTTGATTGTAGATGAACTATAAATCCCAGCAACTACAACTCCCAAATAACAAAATCAATTTTTTGAATGAAAGACATACATTGGGTTGTTAGGTGTCTTGTGTCCAAATCCCACAAATGAACATTTTTATTTAGATAGATTTAGATAGATAGATAGATAGATAGATAGATAGATAGATAGATAGATGGTAGGCTTGGGCGATCCAGTTCGTTAATTTCGTAATTCGTTATTAATTCGTATTTAAATTAGCTTACGATCCAATATCGAGCCATGCAGGAATAGTGTGAGGAGTAATTAAGAATCGAAACAATTTTTCCAATTTTCGTAATTATTTCGTAATTATTTTCGTATGTCTGGTGCAAGTTTTACAATCTCGCATTTACCCCACTTCCGGTCCCTTTGCTCTGCTGCTTCCCTCCTCTTTCCTCATGCTTCTTCTTGCCTCACTCTGGGCTGCACTGGGCTACCTTCCTTCCTTCCTTCCTTCCTTCCTTCCTTCCTTCCTTCCTTCCATCCATCTGGCAAATCCCACATTCCCCCCTCCCTCCTCTTTCTCCTGGCACCCTTCTTGCCCAAAATTTCTCATTACTTTATTTTTCATACCCTCACTCTATGCCACAGCAATGCATTGCCAGGTACAGCTAGAATATAATATAATATAATATAATATAATATAATATAATATAATATAATATAATATAATATAATATACAATTATAATATAATATAATAAGGCCTGGGCGGTTTCGTTCGTTAATTTTGTAATTCGTTAAATATTCGTTAATTTTAGCAATTACAAAACGATTACAAAACTTATTTTTAAACCCGGAAGTGTTTTTAAATATCGAAACGGCATGCGCCAAATAGTTTTGTATTTCCGTCCATTTCGGAAATACGTAAGATGGCTTGGCGAGATGCTTGCTGGGAGCTCTCCTCTCTCTCCTCTCCTTAGCCAGTCAGAGCCTGAAAGAGGAGGAGGAGGAGGAGAGGGCGGGGAAGGCGCCGGCTGAGCAAGCGAGCGAGAGGGCGAGCGACCCTCAGCGGGAAGGCGGCCCGTCCCTCCTTCCTCACCTTTGCGGTGGGTGTGCTTCGTTCTCCCAATTCCGCACTGAAACCTTAGCGGAGGGCTGGACTAGATGGCCTTTGGGGACCCCCTTCTCCCAATTCCGCACTGAAACCTTAGCTTCGGAGGAGCCGGGCCTGACTCGGCGGCAGCGCTTGAGGGCCCGCCAGAGTGAGTGCCTGCCTTCCCTCCTTAATAATAATTTCTCCTCCCTATTCTACTAAATTAATAATTAAATTAAAAAAATATTGAAAAAAAAGGGCGCCATCTTTACAAAATGTTTTGTAAATATTAACGAAATTTCGTAAATACCGAACTTTTTTAAGGGAAAATTTTGTAATTATTTTAAATATCGAAACAAAAAAACCCCCCAAATACAAATCGATTTTAGAAACAAATTTTTGCGTTGTTACCCAGGCCTAATATTATATAATAATATTATAATAATATAATATATATATTATATTATTATAATACTATTATATTATAGTATTGTATATTATATTATTATATTATATATTATATTACTATATTATTATTATATTATATTATAATTGTATATTATAATATAATATAATATAATGTATATTATATTATATTATAATATATAATATAATATAATATAATAATGTTATAATAATATAATATAATAATATATAATTAATATAATGTAATATAATATAATACAACGGAACGTTGGTGGACAGGAAAAGAGATTTAAAGATGGGCTCAAAACCAACCTTAAAAACTCTGGCATAGACACTGAGAACTGGGAAGCGCTGGCCCTTGAGCACTCCAGCTGGAGGACAGCTGTGACTAGCAGTGCTGCAGAATTTGAGGAGGCACGAGTGGAGGGTGAAAGAGAGAAACGTGCCAAGAGGAAGGCGCGTCAAGCCAACCCCGACCGGGACCGCCTTCCACCTGGAAACCAATGCCCTCACTGCGGAAGAAGATGCAGAGCAAGAATAGGGCTCCACAGCCACATACGGACCCACAGGGAAACCCATGATGGAAGACCATCTTACTCGTCCAACGAGGGATCGCCTAAGTAAGTAAGTAATATAATATTATAATATAATATAATATACAACAATATAATATAATAATATAATTATAATATAATATAATATAGTTGTTGTTTGTTTTATCACACCAACAGTCAACAACAGAGGGAGAGGGAAGCTTCAGAAGTTCCCCCTGTCCCATTTGGAGGTTTTTTTTAGCATATTGTGCAATCGCGTCCGCCATAAACGAATCGATTTGTAATTTACGAAATTTTGAAATCTTAAATTTCGGAAGTCCTCAGAATTTCGAAATGCTAGCGCACCCTAGAAACAAAACGAGTTTAGAACCAATTTTTTTCTTGATCGCCAAAGCCAGATAGATAGATAGATAGATAGATGGATGGATTAAGCACTTCAAGGGTGGCGTTTCCATCACCGAGTGTCCAAACTAGATGTGAGACTCCACCTAAAATGGATCCTTTGAAATATGGTGCAAACTTTTTTTCGGAGTCACCCTGGCGCCAGGTCAGCCCCACCTTCCAGATGTGAACGTGTTCCAGCCATCGGCTTATTATTTCCCCCTTCCCTCTTGGGCACAATTCAAAGAACAATGGAGCAGAAAGTACCGAACCAAAATAACAATTTCTTTCCATTTCATAGGGCGTCGGTGTATTCCAAGAGATTGCAGCTCACGCCATTTGCCACAATTAAATCCATGCACTTTTTTTGCCTCCACCTTCTCCCTCTTTTCAAAACTCAAGTTGTGTATATTCTATACCCCTGATGGCGAACCTATGACACGCGTGTCAGTACTGACACACGTAGCCATTTCTACTGACACGCGCCCGCCGGATATTATTTGTTTATTTATTTTATGCCATTTTAAAAAATAAATAGGAAAGAAATTATTATTTTGCAATGTTACCTAAATATTAAGGAGTTTCATATTTAAACTGAATGATAAATACTGTTACTTTGCTATATTATTCAAATATTAAAATGCATTAAATAAAATGTCAAATTTAAAAATATTTTATTATTATTAATATTTAGGTAACGTTGCAAAATAATATTGGTTTATTTAATTATTAAGGAAACGAATATTATTTTGCATTGTTTCCTAAATATTAAGGAGTTACATATTTAAATTAAATTAAATGATAAATAATACTTTGCTATATTACTCAAATATTTCAGAATGCCTTAAATGAAATGGTAAATTGAATTTTAATTTGACATTTAATTTAATGCATTTTAATTTAGTGCATTTTAAATATTTTTAATATATGCCTATATATATATATATATATATATATACCTTAAATGAAATTGTAAATTAAATATCAAAATATTATTTTGCAATGTTACTTTATTGTTATTGCATTATTATTATTATTATTATTATTATTATTATTATTAGAAATACATTAAAAAGCATATTAAATGCTAGAAATACATTTAAATTAAATTAAAAATAAATAATATTTTGTTGGGTTTTTAAATTTATATTTTATTAAACACCCCAAAAAGGATATTATTTACATAAAGAGAGGTAGAACAACATGATAAGAGAGAAAGTGGGAATTACAATTATATATTTTTTGTTATTTCAACTAAATATTGCGAAATTATGGTTTTTTTCTTGAAGTGACACACCACCTGAATTATGCTCAGTTTTTTTGGCGAATTTTGACACACCAAACTCAAAAGGTTGCCCATCACTGTTCTATACGTTAGTTTTGCAACTGCAACAAGAATCCTGTATCATAGTGTTTCCCATTCCTATATATCAGTGGTTCTCAACCTTCCTAATGCCACGACCCCTTAATACAGTTCCTCATGTTGTGGTGACCCTCAACCATAACATTATTTCTGTTGCTACTTCATATATGTAATTTTCCGACTGTTATGAATTGTCATGTAAATATTTGATATGCAGGATGTATTTTCATTCACTGAACCAAATTTGGCACAAATACCCAATACGTCCAAATTTGAATACTGGTAGAATTGGAGGGGAGAATGATTTTGTCATTTGGGAGTTGTAGTTGCTGGGATGTATAGTTCACCTACATTCAGAGAGTATTGTGGACTCAAAAAATGATGGATCTGGAACAAACTTACATGGATACTCAATATGCCCAAATGTGAACACTGGTGGAGTTTGGGGAAAATAGACTTTGACCTTTGGGAGTTGTAGTTGCTGGGATTTATAGTTCACCTACAATCAAAGAGCATTCTGAACTCCAGCAACGATAGAATTGGGCCAATCTTGGCACACAGAACTCCCATGACCAACAGAAAAGACTGGAGGGGTTTTTGGTGGGCATTGAGTTTGGGAGTTGTAGTTCACCTACATCCAGAGATCACTGTGGACTCAAACAATGATGGATCTGCACCAAACTTGGCACAAATACTCAATATGCCCAAATGTGAACACTGGTGGAGTTTGAGGAATACAGAACTTGACATTTGGGATTTGTCATTGGTGGGATTTATAGTTCACCTACAGTCAAAGAGAATTCTGAACTTCACCAGTGATGGAGGGAGGCTCGCCAGCAAATCCTGTCAAGGCATGTGGGTTCTGTGTGGGAAGTTTGGCCCAATTCTATCGTCGGTGGGGTTCAGAATGCTCTTTGATTGAAGGTGAACTATAAATCTCAGCAACTCCACCAACGATGAAATTGAACCAAACTTGGCACACAGAACTCCCATGACCAATAGAAAAGACCAGAAGGGTTTGGTGGGCACTGGGCATTGACCTTGAATTTGGGAGTTGTAGTTCACCTACATCCAGAGAGTATTGTGGACTCAAACAATGGATCTGGACCAAACTGAGTACGAATACTCAATATGCCCAAATGTGTACACTGGTGGAGTTTGAGGGAAATAAACTTTGACCTTTGGGAGTTGTAGTTTCTAGGATTTATAGTTCACCTACATTCAAAGAGCATTAAAGAGTATTCTGAACTCCACCAACAATGGATTGAACCAAACTTGGCACACAGAACTCCCATGACCAGCAGAAAAGACCCGAAGGGGTTGTTGGGCATTGACCTTGAGTTTGGGTTAGGATTAGGGTATTGCCGGCCATGCTTGGTTGCCTGCCTGCTTAGGCAGTGGGCACAGCCTGCCTTGCCACTTGTGTGTTATTGCTGTTGGGGTTTGGGTTAGGAGGGCACCGTGAGGGTAATGTGTGTGGGGGTGAGTGGCACGCGTGGGAGCAACACGGAGGAACCAAAGCACTCACTCCAACATTTTTAAAAGCCAACATTGTAGCTGGTCTCTCTGGCCTCAGTGTTTTTTAGTTTGTGTTGCATATTGCCTCAAAAGAACTAGATCTCCCATCAATTCAAGCCACTCTTTGAACACAAACTCTCCTTCCCAAAGTAGTGAAATCATCTTCCAAGGCAAAAAGGGCAGGGCTGTTTCTTTTTTCATTTGTTTGCTGTGAGTTGCTTAAGAAGACCACCAAGAAGAATTCAAGAATGGAAAACGTAATGTTGGTGGACAGGAAAAGAGATTTAAAGATGGGCTCAACCTTAAAAACTCTGGCATAGACACTGAGAACTGGGAAGCCCTGGCCCTTGAGCGCTCCAGCTGGAGGTCAGCTGTGACCAGCAGTGCTGCAGAATTTGAAGAGGCACGAATGGAGGGTGAAAGATGGAAACGTGCCAAGAGGAAGGGACGTCAAGCCAACCCCACCAGGACCACCTTCCACCTGGAAGCCAATGCTCTCACTGCGGGAGAACATGCAGGTCAAGAATAGGGCTCAGCAGCCACCTACGTATCCACCAAGAATCCTAGACAATGTTTCTCAACCTGGGGGTTGGGACCCCTGGGGGGGGGGTCGCGATGGTGTGTCAGAGGGGTCGCCAAAGTCCATCAGAAAACACAGTATTTTCTGTTGGTCATGGAGGTTCTGTGTAGGAACTTTGGCCCAATTCTATCATTGGTGGAGTTCAGAACGCTCCTTGATCGTAGGTGAACTATCAATCCCAGCAAGTACAACTCCCAAATGTCAAAGTCTGTTTTCCCCAAACCCCATCAGTTTTCACATTTGGGCATATTGAGTATCCATGCCAACTGTGGTCCAAATCCATCATTGTTTAAGCCCACAGTGCTCTCTGGATGTAGGCGAACTACAACTCCCAAACTCAAGGTCAATGCCCACCAAACCCTTCCAGTATTTTCTGTTAGTCATGGGAGTTCTCTGTGCCAACTTTGGTTCAATTCCATTGTTGGTGGGGTTCAGAATGCTCTTTGTTTACATGTTAACTATAAATCCCAGCAACTACAACTCCCAAATGACAAAATCAATCCCCCCACCAACCCCACCAGTATTCAAATTTGGGCATACCGGGTATTTGTGCCAAATTTGCTCCAGTGAATGAAAGTACATCCTGCAGATTAGATATTTACATGGCGATTCATAATGTTAGGGTTATGGTTGGGGGTCACCACAACATGAGGAACTGTATGAAGGGGTTGCGGCATTAGGAAGGGTCACGGCCAACGAGGGATCGCCTAAGTGAAGTGAAGAAGACACTAGAAATCCCATACATTGCACAATTGCGTCCACCATTAATGAAGCGTTTTGGAAATTTTGGAAATTTCTGAAAGTTCCAAATTTGGAAATTTCGGAAAGTTCCGAATTTTGGGGGTAAAAAATGCGGAACTTTCTGAAATTCGGAATTCTATTTCGAATTGAATCACCAGCTCCCCCTATATCCGAAATAGTTTTTTTAATCAACCAAGCCTAGTATGGGGTTTATAGTTTCCACCATGATATTATGTCTCTCTACGGTCAACCCAAGCACTGACCCTTCCATAGAGGAGTAAAGCATATCCCTTGACCAAGTTCAGTTTGCAATCAGGTTTATTTCCAACTCTGCCATTGACAACGTGCTCATTTCTTCATGGCTTTGGCAACAGCAGTCAAGACGAAGCCGATGGCGATGGAGGCCGAAACCACCGCGCTGAGGATCCAGAATTCAAGCTCTGAAAAAGAGTCAGGAGATTTCATATGGACACATCCAGAAAATTGGGGGAGCACGGCAAATGGGGGATCCAGTGCTAACACATTATAGGTTTTAATCCGAATGTGAAGCTCCCAAAAACATCCATCCCATTTTAGGGGTGACATTCAACATCCAGGAGAACTCCAGCCTAGAACCCAGAATTGTCACCAAGCACTGTTGTTGTTCATTCGTTCAGTCGTCTCCGACTCTTCGTGACCTCATGGACCAGCCCACGCCAGAGCTCCCTGTCGGCCGTTACCACCCCCAGCTCCCTCAAGGTCAGTCCATTCACTTCAAGGATGCCATCCATCCATCTTGCCCTTGGTCGGCCCCTCTTCCTTTTGCCTTCCACTTTCCCCAGCATAATTGTCTTCTCTAGGCTTTCCTGTCTCCTCATGATGTGGCCAAAGTAATTCAACTTTGTCTCTAGTATCCTTCCCTCCAGTGAGCAGTCGGGCTTTATTTCCTGGAGGATGGACTGGTTGGATCTTCTCGCAGTCCAAGGCACTCTCAGAACTTTCCTCCAACACCACAGCTCAAAAGCATCGATCTTCCTTCGCTCAGCCTTCCCTAAGGTCCATCTCTCACATCCGTAGGTTACTACAGGGAATACCATGGCTTTGACTAGGCGGATCTTTGTTGCCAGTGTGATGTCTCTACTCTTTACTATTAGGGAAGCATCTTTACTATTACTTTACTTTTACTTTACTATTACTTTACTATTACTTTACTCTTTACTATTAGAGAAGCATTAGAGAAGATCACCAAGCACTAGTGATCGGGTTATAGGTTAACACAGGAAGATGTGTACCTACTAGGGATGTGCAAAAAATTATTAGTCCCGTAAATCCTTAGATTCATGCAAATGACCGCTATTAAGAAACATGCAAAAAACGTGGGGGGGGGGGGGGGGGGGGAAAGGGGGGGGGGGAGGGAGATAAAAATTTAAGAATCGAAACATTCAGCAATAATTTTTAAGATTCTGTAACATTCGGAAGCCTCCCAAAGTCAGTTTAATTTTGAGAATCATAGAATCAAAGAGTTGGAAGAGACCTCCTGGGCCACCATCCAGTCCAACCCCATTCTGCCAAGAAGCAGGAATATTGCATTCAAATCACCCCTGACAGATGGCCATCCAGCCTCTGTTTAAAAGCTTCCAAAGAAGGAGCCTCCACCACACTCCGGGGCAGAGAGTTCCACTGCTGAACGGCTCTCACAGTCAGGAAGTTCTTCCTCATGTTCAGATGGAATCTCCTCTCTTGTAGTTTGAAGCCATTCCTTCATTGCGTCCTAGTCTCCAGGGAAGCAGAAAACAAGCTTGCTCCCTCCTCCCTGTGGCTTCCTCTCACATATTTATACATGGCTATCATATCCCCTCTCAGCCTTCTCTTCTTCAGGATAAACATGCCCAGCTCGTTAAGCCGCTCCTCATAGGGCTTGTTCTCCAGACCTTTTATCATTTTAGTCGCTCTCCTCTGGACACATTCCAGCTTGTCAATATCTCTCTTGAATTGTGGTGCCCAGAATTGGACACAATATTCCAGGTGTGGTCTAACCAAAGCAGAATAGAGCATGGGGAGCATGACTTCCCTAGATCTAGACACTATGCTCCTATTGATGCAGGCCAAAATCCCACTGGCTTTTTTTGCCGCCACATCACATTGTTGACTCATGTTTAACTTGTTGTCCACAAGGACTCCAAGATCTTTTTCACACGTATAAGCACTAAGCAACTTTGGCAAAGCCAAAGAGGCCATTTCTAGTGTTTAAATCAGGGGTTCCCAAACTACGGCCCGCGGGCCACTTCCGGCCCGCCAAGGGCACTTATCCGGCCCGCGGAGGAGGAGCGCCCCACCACACAGTGCCCCTCCCTTGGCTGGCTCACGCTATCCGTCAGGCCCGATGGGCAGCGTGAGCCAGCCAAGGGCAGCTGCTCCGCATGGCCTACTCGCACGTAAAACACATTGCGAGGTGCTTTACGTCCGAGTAGGCCGTGCGGGGCTGCTCCTCCCTTGGCTGGCTCATGCTATCCGTCAGGGCAGCGTGAGCCAGCCAAAGGCAGCTGCTCCGCATGGCCTACTCGTGCGTAAAGCACCTCGCGAGGTGCTTTATGCGCGAGTAGGCTGCGTGGGGCTGCTCCTCCCTTGGCAGGCTCACGCTGCCCATTGGGCCCGATGGACAGCGTGAGCCAGCCAAGAGAGGCTGCCCCGGCGCTCCATGCAGTCATGCTGGCCACATGACCTTGGAGGTGTCTACGGACAACGCCGGCTCTCCGACTTAGAAATGCAGATGAGCACCGCATCCCAGAGTCAGACACGACTGGACTTCATGTCAGAGGAAAACCTTTAACTAGGAAAATTGTGGAAGATCCAGGGTGGGAGAAAGAACTCTTGTCTGTTGGAGGAGGTATGAATGTTTTAATTGGCCACCTTGGTTACCATTTCATAGTCTGACAGTTTTTAGGGAGAATCCTTTGTTGAGAGGTGATTAGCTGGCCCTGATTGTTTCTTGTCTGGAGTTCCCTTGTGTTTGAGTGTTGTTCTTTATTTACAGTTGTAATTTTAGAGTTTCTCTAATACTGGTTGCCAGATTTTGTTCAGACTAGAAATAGGAAGATTTCCCATTCTCTGCTCCTGGAATTACTGCCTCAAGAGGGCGAGAAAGAACCCTTCAACACAGCAAAATAAGATATATGCAATCTGCATAGGAATTTTTTAATTGATTTTTTAAAAAAACAACTATAGTCCGGTCCTCCAACGGTCTGAGGGACAGTGAACTGGCCCCCGGTTTAAAAAGTTTGAGGACCCCTGGCTTAAATCAGTGGTTCCCAACCTTTGGCCCTCCAGGTGTTTTGGACTTCAGCTCCCACATTCCTAACAGCTGGTAAGCTAGCTGAGAGTTCTGGGAGTTGAAGTCCAAAACACCTGGTGGTCCAAAGGTTGGGAATCACTGGTTTAACTTAAGACCCAGGCTGCTTGCCAGTTGCCATAAGGAAGGACAGCCGGAGTGGGATTAGCTGGGTTGAGTGGGAGACTGAGAACATAGCATTCTGGGAAACGTAGTTTGGGAAGGCGAGGCCCCTGTGGCTGAGAATACAAAAGGCCCTGCCCTAAACTACATTTCCCAGAATGCAGTGCTCAGTATCAAAAAGCCCCAATGAGGGTTACAGCAGCCAGCCATTTAGAGTCAGCCTATCAGCCCACCAGGACCCTAAGATCTTCCGGAGAGTCCCTTCTCTCTATCCCTCCAGCTTCAGAAGTGCGGCTGGCGGGAACGAGAGACAGGGCCTTCTCTGTGGTGGCCCCCCGGCTTTGGAACGCCCTCCCTATAGAGGTACGATCAGCTTCTTCGCTGATGGTGTTTAGGAAGAGACTCAAAACTTGGCTGTTCAAACAAGCATTCGGCTAATCTGTGGCAATTCGAATATTGATGACTAAGGACAGGAAACTTGGACAACGAACTCTGGATTGTGATTTTAACTCGAACTATATGGGATTATTATTGGTGGCCCAATAATTTGTTATTGTATGTGTATATGTTTTTAAATTGTAGACTGTTTTAACTGCTGTAAACCGCAATGAGTCGCCGTTCCAGGCTGAGATATTAGCGGTATACAAGTGTACCAAATAAATAAATAATAATAAATTTAGAGTCAGTCTAATAATAATAAATAAAATTATCAAATCTGCAAAGAGGACTAAAGTAAGTAAGAAATAGTATAAAACTATGCCAGATTAAAGATCTATGGCTAATTGTGTGTCATATAGACACAATTTTAGGCAGACATTCAAGGGGATTGCTGTTGTGGCTTTTTGAAGGGCTGCAGAAACCAGCCATTCCGAGTCAGTCTAATAATCTATATAAATAAAAATGTAATGTTCGTTTGTGCTACCACGAGACGCCTCCTGCTCCATTCCCAGTCGAGAACAAGCGATGGGCGCCGCTCTGAAAAGGTTTGGCCCAATTCTATCGTTGATGGAGTTCAGAATACTCTGTGATTGTAGGTGAACTACAAATCCCAGCAACTACAACTCCCAAATGTTAAGATTCTATTTTCCCCATACTCCACCAGTGTTCACATTTGGGCATATGGAGTATCCGTGCCAAGTTTGGTCCAGATCCAACATTGTTAGAGTCCACAGTGATCTTTGGATGTAAGTGAACTACAACTCTAAAACCAAAGGACACTGCCCACCAAACCCTTCCAGTATTTTCTGTTGGTCATGGGAGAACTGTGTGCCCAGTTTGGTTCAATTCCATCGCTGGTGGGGTTCAGAATGTTCTTTGATTATAGGTAAACTATAAATCCCAGCAAATACAACTCCCAAATGACAACATCAATTTTTTTTGAGTGAAGGACATACATTGGGTTGTTAGGTGTCCAGTGGTTTTTGAGTTCTGTTAATCCCACAAACGAACATTACATTTTTATTTATATAGATTTATTTCCTATATTTATACCCTGCCCTTCTCCCCCTGAAAGGGGACTCATGCTTACATATGCCAAAAACCATATGCACATACGTGCATGCGCACATGCACACACACACACATATGGATGGATGTTGGATCACTGGTTGGTGATACACACACACATATATAACAATACTTCATATATTACTATTATATATATTTCTATATAATACATATATATATATATATATATATATATATATTACTATATAATATAATGTTGCTACTATATATTACTATATTAAATAGACTCATAGAATAGAGTTAGAAGGGACTCTACCATGGTATTGGGGGAGAACAGACAGGAAGGAAGGAGGGAAGGAAGGAAGGAAAGAGGTACCGAAAGAAGGAAAAAAAGAAAATAGGAAAGAAAAAGGAAAGGAAAGGCAGGAAAGAGATAAAGAAGGAAGGAAGGAGAAAAGGAAATAAAAAGGGAAAGAAGGAAGGAAACAGGGAGGGAAAAAAGGAGACAAAGAAGTAGAGAAGGGGAGGGAAGGAAGGAAAGAGAAGGAAGGATGAAACCAAAGAGCGAAAGAAGGAATGAAAGAAAGAGGTAGAGAAGGAAGATAGTTCAGATATCTACCTCTACTTCGAAACTTCTCACTATAGGCCACAGCAACTCGTGGCAGGGCACAGCTAGTCATAAATAAAATTATCAAATCTGCAAAGAGGACTAACGTAAGTAAGTAATAGTATAAATTAGGCCTGTGCGGTTTCGTTCGTTAATTCGTTAATTCGTTATTAATTCGTTATTTTTAGCATTTCCGAAGCGATATCAAAACATATTTCCAAACCCGGAAGGGTTTTAAATATCGAACCAGCAACCCCCATAGATTTAACGAGCCTCCGCTCGTTTCGTTAATGGGGTGGAGGCTGCTGGAGTGCTGGTGCCTGGGAGCCAATCCGGCGCTCCCAAGCAGTGCACCATGGGTCCATGGCTGTCTGTTTTTGATTGGCCGGCGAGCCCTTTCAAAGCGGCTCCGCGCGGCCCGTAGCTTGCTGCAGAGGGCGAGGGAGTTTGCATTGGGTTGGCTTGGCTGCTAGCAACTGGGATTGGATTCATTCCTTGCTGCTGTGAGTGCTGCTTGCTTCATTTGCTGTCTCTTGCCTGTGTTTGGTCCACATTTGGGCCATTTTTTGGTTAATTTTCCATTTTAAAATATTTTTAATATTATTTTTAATATTATTTTTAATATTATTTTTTAATATTATTTTTTAATATTATTTTTTAATATTATTCTTAAAAAATATTCTAAAAAAGAAAAGACTCTTCTGTTGGTGTGTGCTCTCATTTGCTGTATCCTGCCTGTTTTTGGTCCACATTTGGGCCATTTTTTGGTTAATTTTCCATTTTAAAATATTTTTTAATATTATTTTAATATTATTTTTTAATATTATTTTAATATTATTTTAAAAAATATTCTAAAAAAGAAAAGACTCTTCTGTTGGTGTGTGCTCTCATTTGCTGTATCGTGCCTGTGTTTGGTCCACATTTGGGCCATTTTTGGTTAATTTTCCATTTTAAAATATTTTTTAATATTATTTTAATATTATTTTTAATATTATTTTAATATTATTCTTAAAAAATATTCTAAAAAAGAAAAGACTCTTCTGTTGGTGTGTGCTCTCATTTGCTGTATCCTGCCTGCGTTTGGTCCACATTTGGGCCATTTTTTGGTTAATTTTCCATTTTAAAATATTTTTTAATATTATTTTAATATTATTCTTAAGAAATACAAAAAATATTTTAAAAATTCGTTAATATTTACAAAATTTCTTAAATACCAAAACTTTTTTGGGGGAAAGTTTTGTAATTATTTTAAATATCGAAACAAAAAAACACCCCAATTACAAATCGATTTTAGAAACAAATTTTTTCTTGATCAAACAGGCCTAGTATAAATGTGTGCTAAGTTGAAGCTCTATGGTTAATTGTGTGACATATAGATATGTCATTCAAAGGGATTGCTGTTGTGGCTTTTTGGGGGATAAATGTTTTTGTCTATAAACTTTTAAAAATCCCCAAAAATCAGTAAATGTGTGATTCTTTCTGAAACTTCTAGGGATCCATATCTTTATTATCTTGTGCATTGTATATAAAATTCTAATAGATAGCTCTTGTAGTTTTTTAAAAAATATTGTTTGTAAAAAAATTCAAAAATTCCCACAAAATTAGTGGATGAGCGTAACATTCTGAAACTTGGCGAGCTAACAGTGGAAAATGTGTGGTACAATTATAGCAAATTTCATCATGAAAGCTCTAAAAATGTGGGAGGAATGAGCCTCTGAAGTTCCCCCAATTGCTCAATTACTTAGTTATTAGCTGGGCTGAGTGGGAGACTGAGAGCACAGCATTCTGGGAAACATAGTTTGGGAAGGTGGCAGAGAACACAAAAGGCCCTGCCCTAAACTACATTTCCCAGAATACAGTGCTCAGCATCAGAAAGCCCCAATGAGGGCTGCAGAAGCCAGCCATTTAGAGTCGGTCAATAATCAGAAATAAAATTATCAAATCTGCAAAGAGGACTAACGTAAGCAAGTAATAGTATAAATCTGTGCTAAGTTGAAGTTCTGTGGCTAATTGTGTGTCACATAGACACACTTCTAGGCAGACATCTTTCTGAAACTTCTAGGGATCTATATCCTGATTATCTTGTGTGCTGTATATAAAATTCAAATAGATAACTCATGTAGTTTTTTAAAAATATAGTTGGTAAATAAAATTCAAAAATTCCCCAAAAATTAGTGGATGAGCGTAACATTCTGAAACTTGGCGAGCTAACAGTGGAAAATGTGTGGTACAATTATAACAAGTTTCATCATGATAGCTCTAAAAATGTGGGAGGAATGAGTCCCTGGAGTTTCCCCAATTGCTCAATTACTTTGTTATTAGTTGGGCTGAGTAGGAGACTGAGAACACAGCATTCTGGGAAACGTAGTTTGAGAACGTGAGGCCCCCTGTGGCAGAGAATACAAAAGGCCCTGCCCTAAACTACATTTCAGAATGCAGTGCTCAGCATCAGAAATCCCCAATGAGGGCTGCAGAAGCCAGCCATTTAGAGTCGGTCAATAATCAGAAATAAAATTATCAAATCTGCAAAGAGGACTAACGTAAGTAAGTAATAGTATAAATCTGTGCTAAGTTGAAGTTCTGTGGCTAATTGTGTGTCATATAGACACACAATTAGACACACTTCATATAGACACACTTCATATAGACACACTTCTAGGCAGACATTCAAGTGGATTGCTCTTGTGGCTTTTTTTTGGGGGGGGGGGGAGATAAATGTTTTTGTCTAAATTTTTAAAAATCCTGTTGGGGTTCAGCCTGGGTGTGAACTTGATTCTCTGATTGCTGAACCTGAACCTGATTCTCTGATTGTATTTCCTGATGCTACTGAACAGGCTACTGAACATGTATTTTTCCCTGAGGGTATTGAAAATGTTGATTCTGAGGTCAGTGGCTTGGAAAGTGAAACTACACATCCTGATGAGAATGTTTTAGAACCAAGCGGTGATAGCTCTCCAGAGGAGCTAACACATGGCTTCCTTAATGAGGATAGAAAAGGACAGATTTGGAAAAACAGGAGTGAATCGCAGAGTCTGCGAAGGTCAAGCAGATTAAGGCAAAAGGAGGCACAGGCTTCAAAGCCTGGAGGCGTGTCACGAAACAGTTTCTTCAGTTTTAAGTGCCTCTCCCCGGGCTGTCTCGTTAGATCAGGCATCGTTTAGACTGAGACATTACCTTGGCAGATTTCCTGTTTTATGTGGCCTACATCCCAAGAGGCTTCTAGTGCTCCAAGTACGGTTAGTGAAATGCTAACAAGTTCCAGGTTTTTACAGTGTTTCTTTTGGAATTTTGATTTAGTTCATAGATATTCCTGACTGCTGATTTTTACTGTAGCTTTTTGACTTTGCATTTTCCTCTATTTTGTAACAATTTTTCATCAATAAAAAGGGATTGTTTTTGCCCACAGTCAAGTGTGGTGGATGGTTATCTTATGGTCTCGTTTCCTGTTCCGAGTTGCAACAAATCCCCAAAAATCTGTTGATGTGTGAATCTTTATAAAAATTCTAGGGATCGATACCCTGGTTATCTTGTACGTTGTATATAAAATTCAAATAGATAGCTCTTGTAGTTTATTTAAAAATATATTATTTTTAAAAACAAATTCAAAATTTCCCCCAAAATTAGTGGATGAGCATAATGTTCTGAAACTTGGCGAGCTAACAGTGGAAAATATGTGGTACAATTGTAGTAAATTTCATCATGATAGCTCTAAAAATGTGGGAGGAATGAGCCCCTGAAGTTCCCCCAATTGTTCAATTACTTTGTTATAGTTACAAGAATGTTTAGGTCCATAATTTCGGAAACACTCTTAAAAACGGTCCACCCCCCCCCCCCCCCCCCAATTTAGTAATGAGCATTGAAACATTTATTTCCATGATCACACAGCTCTAGTACCTACCTCCAAAGGATTCTGGGCTTTTGGAGTTTTGGGTTTCCATTCGGGACGGGACCAGGAACTGAATCGGTCCATAGGAGACTATCTTCTGATAGTCGTCGGGCAACTCTCTCTTGGTTTTCTGCTTGATGGGACATTCCTGTCGTCCAAAAGCAAGCTGTGACAAGTTACCCCCCTTACCGTAGAAGTCATACTTACTTTGAGAATTATTGGGATAGTTCTGAGTCAAATCTGGGCTTCTTAGCAAAGCTGTCCCTGAACCCTCTTTGTGGACTTTAAGATAGTCTGAGGAGGCCCTGCTCTCGGTCCCACCTTCGTCACAAGTACGTTTGGCGGGGACGAGAGACAGGACCTTCTCAGTGGTGGCCCCTCGGCTATGGAACACCCTCCCTAGGGAGATTAGATCTGCTCCCTCCCTCTTAACATTTCGGAGGCAAGTAAAAACATAGCTGTTTGAGCAAGTGTTCACAAATGCAGAGTAGCTAATATAGGAAATCGAATGACTTGACAATGGAACTGGACAAAGCTTAATAATAATGAGACGCTAATGATGTTGTTTTTATTGCTTTTATAGTGTTTTATACTGTTTAATCTACTGTATAAACTCGAGTATAAGCCTAGTTTTTCAGTCCCTTTTTTAGGCTGAAAAGGTTCCCCTCGACTTGAGTCAAGGTTATTTATTATTTTACTCTGTTATTAGTATTATTTTTATTTCATGTATTATTTTACTCCATTATTATTACATTTACATTCCTATGCTACCCTATTATTATGCTTATTATTATTATAATAGTATGCTACCCTATTATTATTATGTATTTTCGAAGGCTTTCATGGCTGGAATCACTGGGTTGTTGTAGGTTTTTTCGGGCTATATGGCCATGGTCTAGAGGCATTCTCTCCTGACGTTTCGCCTGCATCTATGGCAAGCATCCTCACAGGTAGCCAGGTCTGCTGAAACTAGGAAAAGGAGTTTATATCTGTGGAATGACCAGGGTGGGACAAAGGACTCTTGTCTGCTGGAGCTAGGTGGGAACGGTTCAACTGACCACCTTGATTAGCATATAATGGCCTGACAGTGCCTGGGGCAATCTTTTGTTGAGAGGTGATTAGATGCCCTTGTTTGTTTCCTCTCTGTTGTAATTTTAGAGTTTTTTAATACTGGTAGCCAGATTTTGTTCATTTTCATGGTTTCCTCCTTTCTGTTGACATTGTCCACATGCTTGTGGATTTCAATGGCTTCTCTGTGTAGTCTGACATGGTGGTTGTGACAGTGGTCCAGCATTTCTATGTACTCAAATAATATTCCGCGTCCAGGTTGGTCCATCAAATGCTAATCAAGGTGGTCAGTTAAAACATTCACACTTAGCTCCAGCAGACAAGAGTCCTTTGTCCCACCCTGGTCATTCCATAGATATATAAACCCATTTTACTAGTTCCACCAGACCTCACTACCTCTGAGGATGCTTGCCAGAGATGCAGGCGAAATGTCAGGAGAGAATGCCTCTAGACCATGGCCATATAGCCCGAAAAAACCTACAACAACCCAGTGATTCCAGCCATGAAAGCCTTCGACAATACATTCAACATTACATTTTTATTTATATAGATACTAGCTGTACCTGCCACACAATGCTGTGGCCAACCTTCCCTCCCTCCTTCTCTCCTTCTTTCTTTCTCTCCTTCCTTCTCTCCCTCTTTCCTTCCTTCCCTCTTTTTCTTTCCCTTCCACTTTCCCTTCTTCCTTCTCTACCTGTTTCTTTCCTCCTTCCTTTGCTCTTTGGTTCCATCCTTCATTGTCTCTTTCCTTCTTTCCCTCCCTCGTTCTCCCTTTTGTTCCTCCTTCCTTCCTTCTCTCTTTCCTTCCTTCTTTCACTTTTTATTTCCTTCTCTCCTTCCTTCCTTCTCTACCTGTTTCTTTCCTCCTTCCTTTGCTCTTTGGTTCCATCCTTCATTGTCTCTTTCCTTCTTTCCCTCCCTCGTTCTTCCTTTCTTCCTCTCCTTCCTTCCTTCCTTCCTTCCTTCCTTCCTTCCTTCCTTCCTTCCCTCCCTCCCTCCCTCCCTCCCTCCTTCCTTCCTTCCTTCCTTCCTTCCTTCCTTCCCTCTCTCTTTCCTTTCTTCTTTCACTTTTTTATTTCCTTCTCTCCTTCCTTCCTTCTCTACCTTTCTTTCTTTCTTTCCTTCCTTCCCTCCCTTGTTCTCTTTCATTCCTTCTCTCCTTCCTTCCCTCTCTCTTTCCTTCCTTCTTTCACTTTTTTATTTCCTTCTCTCCTTCCTTCCTTCTCTACCTTTCTTTCTTTCTTTCCTTCCTTCTCTCCCTTTTTCTCTTTCGTTCCTTCTCTCCTTCCTTCCCTCTCTTTCCTTCCTTCTTTCACTTTTTTATTTCCTTCTCTCCTTCCTTCCTTCTCTACCTTTCTTTCTTTCTTTCTTTCTTTCCTTCCTTCCCTCCCTTGTTCTCTCTTTCGTTCCTTCTCTCCTTCCTTCCCTCTCTCTTTCCTTCCTTCTTTCACTTTTTATTTCCTTCTCTCCTTCCTTCCTTCTCTACCTTTCTTTCCTTCCTTCCTCCCTCCCTTGTTCTCTCTTTCGTTCCTTCTCTCCTTCCTTCCCTCTCTCTTTCCTTCCTTCTTTCACTTTTATTTCCTTCTCTCCTTCCTTCCTTCTCTACCTTTCTTTCTTTCCTTCCTTCCCTCCCTTGTTCTCTCTTTCGTTCCTTCTCTCCTTCCTTCCCTCTCTCTTTCCTTCCTTCACTTTTTTATTTCCTTCTCTCCTTCCTTCCTTCTCTACCTTGCTTTCTTTCTTTCCTTCTCTCCCTTGTTCTCCCTTTCTTTCATTCCTTCTCTCCTTCCTTCCCTCTCTCTTTCCTTCCTTCTTTCTTTTTTATTTCCTTCTCTCCTTCCTTCCTTCCTTCCCTACCTTTCTTTCTTTCTTTCTTTCTTTCTTTCTTTCTTTCCTTCCTTCCTTCCTTCCTTCCTTCCTTCCTTCCTTCCTTCCTTCCTTCTCTCCCTTTTTCTCTCTTTCATTCCTTCTCTCCTTCCTTCCCTCTCTCTTTCCTTCCTTCTTTCACTTTTTTATTTCCTTCTCTCCTTCTTTCCTTCTCTACCTTTTTTTCTTTCTTTTTTCTTTCTTTCTTTCCTTCCTTCTTTCCATCCTTCCATCCATCTCACCATTTTGTCCTTCCTTCCTTCTTTCCTCCTTCCTTCCTTCCTTCCTTCCTTCCTTCCTTCCTTCCTTCCTTCCCCCTTTCTGTCTATACGTGTTTTGTGTGTATATAAATGCATATATGTGCGTATATATTGGTGTATATTTGTATATATGTGGTTTTGCACATGCACTGTAATATATTTTTTTGTTTTTTGGCTTTTACGTCCCTGCATATATTACGTGTATATATGTATATATGTGTGTTTGTGTATATTCTGTGTATATGTGTTTTGTGTGTATATATGCGTGTATGTGTGTATATATATTTGTCTATATATGTGGTTTTGCGCATACGTTGTAATGTATTTATTTATTTATTTGGCTTTTCAAGTCTCTTCTGCTGTGTTTTTCAGTGTTTTTACGCGTGATGATGGTCACTCGTTGGCCTGAGAGGTGTCTTGTGTCCAAATTCGTCCAGTGGTTTTTGAGTTGTGTTAATCCCACAAATGAACAGTATATTTTTATTTATATTGATAGGAGGGGTTTTCTATACATATATACAAAATGGCCTGCGAAGGAGTCAAATTTTGGAAAAGTTAGTTGGATTTGGAGGGCTGATAGGACATTTCAGGGAACACAAAAGCAAGCCCCGAAGGCCACACTTCGCACACCTGTGTCCGATACCCACACCCACATCTTACCTTAACACAGGGCTTTTGGGTGTCCGGTATGCACAGGCGAACCTGGCAATGTAGGAACACTTCTGAGTAGTTTGTGAACTGGAACATTTGGAAACTGAATTTGGCCACAGTACTGGTTCCAATCATATTTATGAACGTCAACGTTTTGTCGTGGGGACACCTGGACAAAAGAGAAGCACAGCGTCCATCATGTCGCTCAGATCCACGAGCCTTGGTTATTTCAAATATTAGCACATGAAACTATTATCTGGGAAAAAGGTGTGCCTATGATCATTTATTTATTTATCGTGTCATCAGCAAACAGACATTTGTATTACATTTTTAACAAAAACAAACAAACAAACAAAGCACAAAGTTTGCAAGCTTGGTAGTTGAGTTAATGTCCTTTGACCAGTATCTGGCCACTTGGAGTGCCTCTGGTGTTGCCGCAAGAAGGTCCTCCATTGTGCATGTGGCAAGGCTCAGGTTGCATTGCACACTTCTCCACACTCGCATGTTGTGGACTCCACTTTGTGGCCCCATTTCTGAAGGTTGGCTCTGCATCTTGTGGTGCCAGAGCGCAGTCTGTTCAGCGTCTTCCAAGTCGCCCATTCCTCTGTGTGCCCAGGGGGGAGTCTCTTATCTGGTATCAGCCATTGATTGAGGTTCTGGGTTTGAGCCTGCCACTTATGGATTCTCGCTTGCTGGGGTGTTCCAGCGAGTGTCTCTGTAGATCTTAGAAAACTATTTCTTGATTTAAGTCGTTGATGTGCTGGCTGATACCCAAACAAGGGATGAGCTGGAGATGTCTCTGCCTTGGTCCTTCCACTATTGGCTGCTCCTTCCCGGCGGATGTCAGATCGTTTCTCCAGTGTAATTTCTGTCAGTGGTAGGGCGCAGACACCCCGTGATAATGCGGCATGTCTCATTAAGAGCCACATCCACTGTTTTAGCGTGGTGAGATGTGTTCCACACTGGGCATGCATACTCAGCAGCAGAGTAGCATAGCACAAGGGCAGATGTCTTCACTGTATCTGGTTGTGATCCCCAGGTTGCGCCAGTCAGCTTTTGTATGATATTGTTTCTAGCACCCACTTTTTGCTTGATGTTCAGGCAGTGCTTCTTGTAGGTCAGAGCATGGTCCAGAGTGACTCTGAGGTATTTGGTTGTGCTGCAATGCTCCAGTGGGATTCTTTCCCAGGTAATAATCCTCAGAGCTCGGGATGCTTCACTGTTCTTGAGATGAAAGGCACATGTCTGTGTTTTAGATGGGTTGGGGATCAGTTGGTTTTCCTTGTAATAGGCAGTAAGAGCACCTAGAGCTTCGGAGATCTTCTGTTCAACCGTCTCAACACTCCCTGATCGATCAGTGATGGCACGATCATCAGCATAGATGAAACTCTCTGTCCCTTCTGGCAGTGGCTGGTCATTTGTGTAGATGTTGAACCTGGATGGAGCAAGCACACTTCCCTGAGGCAGGCCGTTCTTCATTTTCTGCCATCTGCTTCTCTGGCCCTGGAACTCAACAAAAAAGCTCCTGTTTTGTAACAGGTTTCCTATGAGGCAGGTGAGATTTGCACATGATCTTGTGCAAAGTGCATACGGCTGATGTTTAGCAATTCACAGATAACAATGACATTACGTAACATTATTTTTTCCCTGGGTTATCAATGCCATTTCCTAATTGGTTCTATCATAAATATATGGAGAAACGTTATTAAACTGCAAAAACTTTGTTTGTGTGGGGCATCCTGCTGCACAATTTGCTCTAGTTTTTCAATGAATATCTTTTAGATTCTCAACCAATTCAACCTCGTTTGTGGCAACCACAAAAACAAAATAGCTACTTTCAAAGTAAGTACCACACCGGAAAATCCTGCAAATCTCTTGGGAAGACAGGCGGAAAAACTTCAGCGTGCTGGAAGAAGCAAAGACCACCAGCATTGAAGCGATGGTCCTCCGCCATCAACTCCGCTGGATCAGCCACGTTGTCCGGATGCCCGACCACCATCTCCCGAAGCAGTTGCTCTACTCCGAACTTAAGAACGGAAAACGGAATACTGGTGGGCAGAAAAAGAGATTCTCACCCTTTCATGATCAGCTGGTGCTTCGTCTCGTGATCCGGATCAGCAGTTGGAGTTCCCCAGCAGTCCTCCACACTGAGGAAGAAGTACTTGACTTGGTCCTGCCCTTCGATCCGGAGCAGGACGTAGATGATGTCCGACAGGAAGAGCATTAGGGGCTGCCGGCGGTGCGGCTGCTCGTAAGTTGCACTATCATAGAGTGCCATGGTCACCGTGAAGTCCCCCTCCTTGACCGCAAACTGGACAACTCTAGGACAGAACGGCACAAACAATCTGCTTACATACGTTGCCCGTACAAGTCACAATAAAGGACACCAATCTACAAAATGTGGAGGTCCGACTTTGTTTGGGGATGAGTCTGACTCTCCTCTTGCACTAACTTGAGTCATAATGGAGAACTTTGAGTCGGAGTCCTCAAAACCTTTCAAGCCAAGAGTTGGTTCACGGTTCCTCTGACCATTGCAAGCAAATGGACTACAGCACTATGTAATACAACTTTTGTTCCTGCGTTATCAATGTCATTTCCTAATTGGGTCCATCTTATAAACATGGAAAAAGTTTATCAAACTGCAAAAAGTTTGTTTTTGTGGGAAGGACATCCTGCAGCACATTTTGCTCTACTTCAGTGGTTCTCAACCTTTCTAATGCCGTGACCCCTAAATACAGTTCCTCATGTTGTGGTGACCCCCAACCATATTTTTGTTGCTACGTCATAACTGTACTGTTATGAATTGTAATGTCAACATCTGATATGCAGGATGTATTTCCAATGTTACAAATTGAACATAATTAAAGTATAGTGATTAGTGGTAAAAAAAAATATGTTTGGGGGATTATGGACAATGGATGCAGGGATTGGAATTACCGCCAACCGATTCAGCTCTGACTTTTTGGGAATTGCATTTGTGTGAATTATAGTTCACCAGGCACCAAACAGCATTCTGAATGCCACCAACAATAGAATTGAACCAAACTTGGCATACAGGACTTCCATGACCAACAGAAAATACTGGAGGGGTTTGGGAAAAATAGAACCTGACATTTGGGAATTGCATTTGTGTGAATTCTAGTGCACCAGGCACCAAAGAGCATTCTGAACTCCACCAACAATAGAATTGAACCACACTTGGCATACAAGACTTCCATGACCAACAGAAAATACTGGAGGGGTTTGGGAAAAATAGAACCTGACATTTGGGAATTGCATTTGTGTGAATTCTAGTGCACCAGGCACCAAAGAGCATTCTGAACTCCACCAACAATAGAATTGAACCACATTTGGCATACAAGACTTCCATGACCAACAGAAAATACTGGAGGGGCTTGAGGAAAATAGACCCTGACATTTGGGAATTGCAATTGTGTGAATTATAGTTCACCAGGCACCAAAGAGCATTCTGAACTACACCAACAATAGAATTGAACCAAACTTGGCATACAGGACTTCCATGACCCACAGAAAATACTGGAGGGGTTTGGGGGAGGTATTAACAAAAAAATAGATTTGTCCTACCTTCAGTTTCTGAAGAGCCTTCTTTGCAGCCTAGAGAGGGGAAAGAGGGCTGGGAACCCCTCACCCCTTTAGAGGCCGGAAGGTGCAGAAGGTGAGTGGGGAAGGCCCCCTCCATGGCCATGGCCATGGCCATGGCAAGGACCTTACACTCGCCCCTCGCATCCTCCGAGGCCGGAGGGCACAGGAGGCGAGTGGGAAAGGCCCCCTCCATGGCCATGGCCATGGCAAGGGCCTTACACTCGCCCCTCACGTCCTCTGAGGCCAGAGGGCATGGGGGACAAGCTGGCAGGCCCTCTCCATGGCCGTGGCTGTTTGGCTCGCACAGGAGCCAGCAGCCATTTTGGAGAGGGTGGGGCCAACAGAGTCGGCGTTGCGACCCCCGGAAAATGGCCCAGCGACCCCCTTGGTGGTCGCGACCCCCAGGTTGAGAACCACTGTTCTAGCTCTTCAAGAAGTGCCTCGTCGTGTCTCAACCAACTTGACCTAGTTTGTGCCACAAAAACAAAAGTTTCTAGTGTACAACAACTACTTTTAAAGTAAGGGCTGCACGATTAAACAGGAAATAACACTTTCAAACTAGGAACAGAATGTTTTCCTCCAAATTTTATTACATAATGTAGTTTGGGGAAAAATGAACCAATTCCTATGCACACTGTACTTATCTATAGTGCAAAAGACATGAAAGTGCAATACAATATTTTAAATGATGAAGAATTTTAAATGGGAAGTGGCCTGCTTTTGGCTGCTGAGAGAGTCAAGTTAATTAGGGCTGTTGTTGTTGTTGTTGTTGTTGTTGTGCCTTCAAGTCATATCAGACTCAAGGTGACCCTAAGGCAATCCACTCATAGAGTTTCCTGGTCGATATATATTTGTCATGACCTGAGGTTGGGATAGTGTGACTTAGCAAAAGTCAGCCAATGGGTTCAGAGCTACACTTCAAATTTGCAAACCACTATGCTATGCTTTCTGAATTCATTCTCTCTGTTTCCAACTTCAATTTCTTTCTCCCTCTCTTTCTTTTCTTCCTTTCCTATTTCTAGAGCCTATCTTTATTTATTTCTTCCCTCCTTACTTCCCTCTTTATTTTCTTCCGTCCTTCCTTTTCCCTTCTTCCATTCCTTTTTTACTCCCTTCCCTTCGAATCCTTAGTTTGGGGACCCTTGACCTAGATATTCCTGGAGTGATGCTGTTAATCAAATCCATCAATAATCAAATCTGCAGAAGTTAAACCTGCAAACATGGATTGTATTTAGAGTTTGCTTAATTCCCGTTTCGCAATAACTTGACTCAAGTGGGAATTGTGCTGCTCATTGGCTAAATGGTAGGCTTGGGTAGCCACGGAAAAATTTGGTTCTAAACTCGTTTTGTTTTTAGGGGGCCCTTGCGTTTCGATTTTTTTAAGAATTCCGAAATTTTCCTTTTAAAAAATTCGAAATATACGAAATTTCGTAAAATTACGAAATGGCGGGCGCGATTGCGCAATATGCTAAAAAAACCTCCAAATGGGACAGGAGGAACTTCTGAAGCTTCCCTCTCCCTCTGTTGTCGACTGTTGGTGTGATAAAACAAACAACAACTATATTATATTATATTATTATAATATTATTATATTATATTGTTGTATATTATATTAAAAGGTAAAGGTAGTCCCCTGACATTAAATCCAGTCATGTCTGACTCTGGGGTGTGGTGCTCATCTCCATTTCTAAGCCGAAGAGCCAGCGTTGTCCGTAGACACCTCCAAGGTCATGTGGCCGGCATGACTGCATGGAGCACCGTCACCTTCCCGCCGGAGCGGTACCTATTGATCTACTCACATTTGCATGTTTTCGAACTGCTAGGTTGGCAGAAGCTAGGGCTGACAGTGGAAGCTTACGCCGTTCCCCAGAATCGAACCTGCGACCTTTCGATCAACAAGCTCAGCAGCTCAGTGCTTTAACCAACTGCGCCACCAGGGGCTCCGTATATTATATTATATTATATTATAATATTATTATATTATATTATTGTATATTATATTATATTATTATATATTATATTATATTATATATTATTATTATTATATTATATATTATTATATATATTATATATATTATATTACATTATTATATTATTATATTATATTATATTATTATAATATTATTATCTTATATTATATATATAATATTGTAATATAATATATTATATAATTTATATTATTATAATATTATAATATTATATATTATATTATATTATATTATATTATATTATATTATATTATATTATATTATATTATATTATATACTAGCTGTACCTGGCAACGCATTCCTGTGGCATAGAGTGAGGGTATGAAAAATAAAGTAATGAGAAATTTTGGGCAAGAAGGATGCCAGGAGAAAGAGGAGGGAGGGGGGAATGTGGGATTTGCCAGCTGGAAGGAAGGAAGGAAGGAAGGAAGGAAGGAAGGAAGGAAGGAAGGAAGGAAGGAAGGAAGGAAGGTAGCCCAGTGCAGCCCAGAGTGAGGCAAGAAGAAGCATGAGGAAAGAGGAGGGAAGCAGCAGAGCAAAGGGACCGGAAGTGGGGTAAATGCGAGATTGTAAAACTTGCACCAGACATACGAAAATAATTACAAAATAATTACGAAATAATTACGAAATAATTACGAAATAATTACGAAATAATTACGAAATAATTACGAAAATTGGAAAAATTGTTTCGATTCTTAATTACTCCTCACACTATTCCTGCATGACTCAATATTGGATCGTAAGCTAATTTAAATACGAATTAATAACGAATAACGAAATTAACGAACTGGATCGCCCAAGCCTACTAAATGGTGTTTGTCTCCACCATGTGTCCAAAAGCCAGGACTGAAGTGCACAGAGAAGTATAGACTTCCTACAAAAAGGATGCAAGGAGAAGTATATATGTCCTATAAAAAGAATGCACAGAGAATTATAGACTTCCTACAAAAGAGACAAAAGTTCAGTTCCTGAGTATAACTAAAGCTATCAAATATTGGAAGAATTGGGGAAGGCAAGCTCTTACAGCACAAGATTGATACCTCCCAAACCATCTGGAAATCCACTTCTTTTCTTTTTAAAATGGTATTTATTTTAATAGAGCTCAGGATAGTGTAGGTGTTTGAGTGCTGGACTTTGGAAAGCAGAGTTTGAAGATCTATCCAACCATGAAAACCCATTGGGTGATCTTGGAGAAGCTTGAAAGAAAACTTCACAGCAGAGTCACCATAAGCTGGAAACAATTTGAAGGCACACAAGAACTTTTTTAAAATGTAAAAGGGAAGGATGTCAATGAAGGAAACTCTGCCCAAGCAGAAACATACTGGTCCATTGCCATGAGTGGCTGGAGCAGGCCGACCACCCGCTTGTAGGCGTAGATGCAGGAGAAGTGGACGCGGGCGAAGATACTCCTGGTGATCACGCCTTGAACCTCCCCGTCTGACTCAATGACGTTGGCGTACGACACATGCGAGCCGTTGACCTGGAAAAGGGAGCAGGGACAAAGTGAGGGATTCAGACCTAAGCTGCGGAGGAAGGCAGCTCTTGGACAGAAGTGGAAGCTGAGCTCTCCCAAGGAATGCCTCTCATGTCATTTGGTTGGAAAACCCATTCCAGTGATGATCCTAAACTATCAAGGTTCTGGACTCGGGTGGTATCATGATCATCACCATGACTATTTCCATCACCACCACCATGATGATGACAGTCATCACCATCATCATCATCACCACCATCATTGCCATCATCATCATTGTCACCATCACCATTGCTATCGTCACCATAACCATCATCATTATCACCATCACCACCAACATCATCACCTTCATCATCATAATAATCAGCATTGTAATCATCATTGTCACCATCACCATCATCACCATCACCATAGTCACAATCATCACCATAGTCATGATCACCATCATAATCACAACCGTTGCCATCATCACTACTGTTGCCATCATCACTACCATAGTGATGATGATGAGTCATCACCATCATCATCATTGCCATCATCGTTGTCACCATCATCATTGCTATCATCACCATAACCATCATCATTATCACCACCACCATCATAATCATCACCATCGTAATCATCATTGTCACCATCACTATCATCACTATCACCATAGTCACAATCATCACCATAGTCATCATCACCATCATCATCACAACTGTTGCCATAATTGTACTACCATTGCCATCATCATCACTATGGCCTTTCATCTCAAGAACAGACAAGCATCCCGAGCTCTGAGGATCACCTGGGAAGGAATCCCACTGGAGCATTGCAGCGCACCCAAATACCTGGGAGTCACTCTGGACCGTGCTCTTACCTACAAGAAGCACTGCCTGAACATCAAGCAAAAGTGGGTGCTAGAAACAATATCATACGAAAGCTGACTGGCACAACCTGGGGATCACAACCAGATACAGTGAAGACATCTGCCCTTGCGCTGTGCTACTCTGCTGCTGAGTATGCATGCCCAGTGTGGAACACATCTCACCACACTAAAACAGTAGATGTGGCTCTTAATGAGACATGCCGCATTATCACAGGGTGTCTGCGCCCCACACCACTGAAGAAATTACACTGCTTAGCCGGTATTGCACCACCTGACATCCGCCGGGAAGTAGCAGCCAATAGTGAAAGGACCAAGGCAGAGACATCTCCAGCTCATCCCCTGTTTGGGTATCAGCCAGCACGTCAACGACTTAAATCAAGAAATAGTTTTCTAAGATCTACAGAGACACTCACTGGAACACCTCAGCAAGCGAGAGTCCAAAAGTGGCAGGCCCAAACCCAGAACCTCAACCAATGGCTGATACCCAATGAGAGACTCCCCCCTGGGCACACAGAGGACTGGGCGACCTGGAAGGCACTGAACAGACTGCGCTCTGGCACCACGAGATGCAGAGCCAACCTTCAGAAATGGGGCTACAAAGTGGAATCCTCGACATGCGAGTGTGGAGAGGAGCAAACCACTGACCACCTGCTGCAATGCACCCTGAGCCCTGCCACATGCACAATGGAGGACCTTCTTGCAGCAACACCAGAGGCACTCCAAGTGGCCAGATACTGGTCAAAGGACATTTAATCAACTCTCATACAAATTTTGTAATCTGCTTGTTTGCTTTGTTCTGTTAGAAATGTAATATAATTTGACTGGTTGTTCTGACACGACAAATAAATAAATACTATGATGATGACAGTCATCACCATCATCACCATCACCATCATTGCCATCATCATCATCACCACTGCTATCATCACCATAACCATCACCATTATCACCACCACCACCATCATAATCATCACCATCATCACTATCACCATAGTCACAATCATCACCATAGTCATCATCACTACCATTGCCATCACCATCACCACCATCATCACTACCATTGCCATATCATCATAATTATAATCATCGACATCATGACTACCATTACCACCATCATCATCACCTCCATCAATATCACCATCATCATCTCCATCACCAGCACCATCATCATCATGACTGTTGTTGTCACCATCAGCCCACCACATCTTCAGGTTTAACTTTTTTAGGTTTGATTAATATAATCTTTTTAGGAATCAAGTTAAACATGAGCCAACAATGTGATGTGGCGGCAAAAAAAGCCAATGGGATTTTGGCCTGCATCAATAGGAGCATAGTGTCTAGATCTAGGGAAGTAATGCTACCCTCTATTCTGCTTTGGTTAGACCACACCTGGAATATTGTGTCCAATTCTGGGCACCACAATTCAAGAGAGATATTGACAAGCTGGAATGTGTCCAGAGGAGGGCGACTAAAATGATCAAGGGTCTGGAGAACAAGCCCTATGAGGAGCGGCTTAACAAGCTGGGCATGTTTAGCCTGAAGAAGAGAAGGCTGAGAGCGGATATGATAGCCATGTATAAATATGTGAGAGGAAGCCACAGGGAGGAGGGAGCAAGCTTGTTTTCTGCTTCCCTGGAGACTAGGACGGGGAACAATGGCTTCAAACTA